TGATTAGTCCAGGAGGAGTCGTTTACATATCGTTGGGGCTGCAGGATTAACAAAGAACTTGTTATATGTGCCAGGGACGTTTACAAGCAGAAGGTCATTTTAAAAAGTGCTCGCAAACGTTTACCGAAACTTCAGCAAGTGGGCCAAAACTGCACAAGGCAATTCTATGTAAGTGGCACTGATGCTAACCGTTAAAGCCGCTATTAAAAGCAACAGGGAGAGATCTCAAAGAATACAGTCAGTTGTTTTTAATCCCCTGACTGCGTGATCTTAATTCTGCTATCTAATGGCGTTAAATCAAATACACGGTCTTAAGTGGACCGATCGAGATAACTGAAACGTTACCTGCCGATAACTTGTTTGAAATAATCAGTTAAATCTACGCTTTGTCCCGTCCGTATCCAGTTAGTAGGGAGTGCGTCTTCCCTAAGCAATTCATACAAAACGGTTATTTAAATTATTTTGGCCTTTGCGGTGCAATCTTGGAATTCCCAAACGTTTTCGACGCGTAATCATGTTGGACGAGGCAATAGTATACCCAAAGTTTACACTTTCTAGAAGGAAAGAAGAAAGGAAGGAAGGAAGGAAGGAAGGAAGGAAAGGATCATTCCGAATAAGTCTTTTTAAGTTAAACACTAGGAAATGAAATAATATGGCCTGTGCTTATTATCTTACAAGTTTTTTTTATTATTATCATTATTATTATTATTATTATTATTATTATTTATTTTACAGTACTTCTTGTTTTCTTTTTGCTGTTTCAGACGTTAAATACTTCGTGAAAGAGCTGGTGAAGTGGCATAAACTGGCAAATCACTGGACCAACATTTTAGCAATTAAACAAGCGCTGGATATCAATTTGTTATCACAGGCAACGTCAGCGAAAGCTCCCCTTCCAAAAGTCCACACCGTCAAAATTTATCACAGGCAACGTCAGCAAAAGTTCGCCTTACAAAAGTCCACATCAGAGTCAAAGTTGTCCTTACAGGGAAGCAATATTTACAAACACTATGGTAAATATAAGCTTCAAAGGAAATTCTTCGAATGATTTGCACAACTCAACGTTAGTCAACTTATCGTCAACCGAGAGTGCCGAGTTTAAAATCTTCAAACTGTTCTTTTATGCAATCATATTCCTTATCAGCATTATTGGCAACACTCTTGTATGTATTGTAATAGTTAGAAGGCATCGAATGCGTACCGTGACAAATTGCTTCATATTAAATCTGGCAGCAGCCGATCTCGCCATTACTTGTATTTGCATTCCATTCGATATCCCAGTTCAAGAAAACAACTACAAATGGCCGTATGGAAGTCTTCTTTGCAAGCTTCTTTACCCTCTTCAGACAATGG